AGACCCCCACCTCCAACAGGGGGTCTGGCAGCCCTATAGTGAAGTTGGGGGATTCCATGGTGTGACGCCCCATCTTCATTCACACACAGTACCTACCACCCTCTACACCTCTCCCTCTCAGGTTCAGGGTTACAAGGAGGTCAGGCTGTCACACATCAATACCAGTGTTCCCTCTAAGCCGTGGAGTCATGTGAGCAAAAAGTCTACTTGGTGAGCTACCAGCATTAAAGTTGTGAGCGAGCGATTTGGCTACTGCATGATTTCGTTTGCTCTGGAGTCCTCCTTCCTGAGCTAAGACAAAAACGTGTGAGCCGGAGGCTAAAATACTGTGAGCTAGCTCACGCTAACTCAGCTTAGAGGGGACACTGATCAATACCCCTCTTGTCTCTTTTAAAAATTCTTACGAGCCATAACCCTTTCACTTTAAGAGCCATAACCATTTTGCTTCTCGGGTCCTCTCTCTCACTCACAGAGACATCAGCAGACAGAGTAGCCCTACCCGCCCCGCCCCCTTTTAATTACAGACTTTCACTCAGACACTTCACAGAGTTATTGGGTTTGGGGCTCAGACACTGTTCTGTTCACACAATGCCACTGTTTATTCATATCCTAAAACATATATAGACTGAGATCTTCGCTGGTGTGCATTTCTTTCCCTGAGACACACAGCCCACAGGATTGAACAAACAAACAAGGAGTTAACATTTACTTATAGTTTGAACATAACACTGAATAAAGTAAGTAGGGATGCCAGCCTCCAGGTGGGACCTGGGGATTCCCTGGAATTACAGCTCATCTCCAGAATAGAGAGATCAATTCCCCTAGAGAAAAAGGATGCTTTGGAGGGTGGACTCTGTGACATTGTACCTCACTGAGGTCCCTGTCCTCCTCAGGCTTCATCCCCAAATCTCCAGGAGTTTCCCAACCTGGATCTGGCAACCCTACTTCCCCCATCCACCACCAGCGGCTAGGGGGACCTGGCAACCCTAAAAGTAAGGTAAAGGTTACAATGTTTCTTTCCCTTGAACTTCTGAACTGTTTCCCTGTTCTAGCATTTGGAATATTTTGGTACAAACTGACAAAAGCTGTTCTTCACCTCAGCTTCACTCAGTCAGGCATTCTCTCCACCCTCAACTCCTTTCTGTCCCTTAACTGCCACTCCTTAACTGCCATTTTCCAACTGTCCCTTACTAACATTCTGTCAGCTCTCACTGGTTGATCTGAGAGAGAGGCAGAACCTAACCTGTCCGTCACACCTAGGGATAAAAAATATCATTAAACTGGTAAAAATAAAAAAGAAGACCTGGGAAAACCCCAAAAGCCTGATGTGCATGCTCAAACTGGCAGCCGCTCTCCAGGGTGTCAAGCAGAGGTCTTTCATATCACCTGCTACTTGACCAACTGGAGATGTTTGGGTTTGAACCTGGTACCTTCTGCATGCCAAGCACATACTCTACCTCTGAGCTATGGCCCGTCCCCAGCTTTGGTGGATGACTTTCTCTGGAGGAGAACTAATGTGAAGAAAAGGTGAGAAGATCCCACAAAAGATGTTAAAATTGTCTTTTCAGATAGTGTAAGCCCCTTTGAAGATGTGATGGTGAGCTATCAATCAAATAAATAAATCACCAACAAAGAGAACTACAATGATTGAAAGACGGAAGGCACATCTTCCCAAAAAGGAAAAGCTAAAGCGTTTATTGGAGTGTTTTAGTTTAGAAAAAAGATGACAGACCGACATCACACATGCCTTGTATAGCACGGGAAGGTTACGGTACGACTGTAAATCAGCCATCCTGCCTAGCCATCAATTAATCTGGGAACCCGACACAAGCGTAGTTTAAACTGCCTTTCTATTTTTCACACATGCATAAGTGCCTGTAAAACTGTATTTTCTGTTTTTCACACTTGCGCACCAACGGAAGAGCTGAAAAGCACTTTAAGTAGACATGTGAAGTCAGTCTAAGAAGGGGCATAGTAATGGTATATAGAACTGCAAATGGAATAGAAAAGGAACGTGTTTTTCTCCCACTCTGATAATGGTAGAATTCTTTTAAGCGTTTGAGAGTGCCTCGATTCCTCATTTAAAGCTAAAATATCCATTTATCAGGAGCGTGCTGGCACTTACATAGGTATAGGGATTCAACCCCTCAGGTGTGTTAATGCAATAGTTAAAAATAGGCCTTGTATTAGGAAATCAGATCACTCGGAATAGCAAACATATAAGGAAAGAAGGCATTTCTAAATCTAAAAAGTAAACTTTCTTTGTTTTTGTCCCGTGATGGAATAAAGCAGGTAGGGTTGCCAGGTCTTACCTGGCTGCTGGCAGAGGAGGAGGTCCAGTCTTGTCCCAGGTGTCTTTGTGCCGGGCACTGCAAGCGGGATGCTCTAGCATTTGGGCAAAAAATTCTGTGGTCACCATCATTGCTCCCTCTAAGCTGCAGAGTCCTGTGAGCAAAACTTCTACGTTGTGAGCTACCGGCCTTAAAGTGGTGAGCCAGCAATTTGGCTGCTGCAGAAATCAGTTTGCTCTGGAGCCCCTCCTTCCTGAGCCAAGACAAAACTGTGCGAGCCGGAGGCTAAAGAAGTGTGAGCTCACTCACACTGACTCAGCTTAGAGGGAACACTGGTAACCATAGAGTTTTTGCCGAAATGCTAGCGCGTCCTTGGCGCAACGTGCCTGGTGCGACAACGTCACCTCCAGGTGATGTCATTCCACTGGTCATGTTGGACAGGATGGGGCTCTTTGGGAGTGGGGCTCCCCACACTGTCCAGCTGGTCGGGGGCAGATTGGGGGCCCCAAAATTGGGGGAACCCCTGCCCCCATTGGCGGGATGGTAGCCCTAAAAGCAGACGTCCCCAACATGGTGCCCATGGGCACTGTGGAGCCCGTTGCCACCTTTCCGGGTGCCTGCCAAGTGTTTTTAGGAAGTGAGCAATGCCAGGTAGGACTGTTGCCCAGCAAGGCTTCTGCAGGTTTTAAAAAAATATTGCTTTGGCGGCAGCTGCCACCAGTGCACAAGGATCTTCACTGTGTGACTAAAGGCAGGCCTTTTGTGCTGACTCTGCCTCCTTTGGCAGGCCTTTTGTGGCAGGCCTTTTGTGACTGCGCCCACCATGATGTGTCCGGGTTCCAAATGTGCCCACAGGTTCAAAAAGGTTGGGGACCCCTGGCCTAAGCACTAAGGACCCACATGCTTGAGTTAACTCAGGCGGGAATCTCTTAAGCAGGTCTACCCAGAGGTAAGTTCCATCTTGTTCATTTGGGCACTCTCCCAGCAAAGCGTTCTTAAGATAGTACTAGCCTGAGCTTCCAAAAACCTGATTTTAATGCTTTTAGGAGAACAAGTGAAGGGGTGGGTTGGATTGTATTTGGCCTCTGCTCAGGGCTCTAGCCTGCTTTCCTCAGTAGATAAGGCTCCCATATTCTTAAGAACATCTAGAGCAGGGATGTCGAAGGCTGGATCTGACATAAATGTCACTTTGTCATAGGGTTGCCAAGTGTGTCTTCGCCAGGAGCGGGGGGGCTCCCGGCCGGCATCTTGTGCGCACGCGCACGCACATCACCCAGAAGTGACGGGAGGACGCCAGGCACGCTGGGGGTGGGGCCACGGCCATACAAGGGAAAACCATAGAGTTTTCCCTTGTATGGCC